GGAGCTGGGCACCTCGAGTCGGCAAAGGAGGCGCAGACACCGGGGAGGCGAGGCGGTCTGCTCGTTCGTAGCCGCTCCTCCAGGACCCCTTTGCCCTCCATCTACCTGGCCAACGTCCAGTCTCTGCCCAACAAGACGGACGACCCGACGGTCCAGAGCCAGCGCGAGGCCCGGGACTGCGCTGTGTTCTGCCTCAGCGAGACGTGGCTCCACTCGAACGTCCCGGACTCTGCTGTTCAGCCCCGGGATTCACCGCTCACCGCGCGGACAGAGTGAAGGAGACCACGGGCAAGGCCAGAGGCGGAGGTGTGTGCTTTTTAATTAATCAGCGCTGGTGCACGGACACTCGAATCGTGAACCAAACATGTACTGCCAATCTGGAATGCCTGGTCTTGAGCTGCCGCCCCATTTTATCTTCCCCGTGAGTTTTCAGTGATATTTTTATGTGCTGTTTACATTCACCCACGTGCGGATTACAAAGTAGCCCTACAGGATCTGAGCGAGATCCTTCATAAACATGAGTCTGCTCATCCTAACGCAGTCATCATTGTTGCTGGGGATTTCAATAAATGTAATTTACCAATATGTGACTCGAGCTACAAGAGGAGCACATGTTCTGGATCACTGTTAGAGTAACGTGAAGGGAGCTTACAGGTCCAGTCTCAGACCTCCTTTTGGAAAGTCTGACCACTCCTCTGTTCTCCTTCTTCCCTCATATACTCAGAGGAGCAGGGAACATAAACCAACCTCTCGCACTGTGCAGTGTTGGTCTGAGGAGGCTAGCATGAAGCTACAAGGTTGTTTTGATGCTACGGACTGGTGTGTGTTTCAGTCAGAGGACGTCAATGAATTCTGTGACGCTGTGTCTGGATACATACGCTTCTGTATTGACTACTGTGTCCCACAGAAGGTCATTAAAGAACATTTTAGTCAAAACCCTTGGATGAACGCGGAAGTGAAACTGAAACTTCATGAGCGTGCGTTGGCGTTTCAATCAAATGATACAGTTGCTTATAAGCTATCCTGTTACTCATTGAAACGTTCTATTAAATCTGCAAAGCGCAGTTACGGGGACAGGTTAAAGGGTTATTTTGAGGAAGATGACCCTCGGCGCATGTGGAACGGTATTAAAGCCATCAGATCGTGGAAACCTAGTGCTGGGAAAATTGCATCTGTCGGACAAGCTCTGCCAAACGAGCTGAACACGTTCTACTGTCGCTTTGAATCCGCTGATGCCTGTCCTACTGTATTCCCTGAGTGTTTCAATCAAGGTACCTTCACCGTGACTCAGGAGGAAGTCAGGCGTGTCTTGTCCAGGACCATAGTCCGGAAAGCCCCAGGCCCGGACGGCATCCCTCCTCGTGTCCTGAAACTGTGCTCTGAGCAGCTTGCCCCTGTGCTAACAGACATTTTGTCGCTAAGGAACTGTACTGTGCCAAACTGCTTTAAAGAGTTGACCATCATTCCAGTTCCTAAGAAAACTCCTGTGACATGCCTGAATGACTATCGTCCTGTGGCCCTCACGTCTGTTCTTATGAAAACTTTTGAGCGGCTTGTGCTGGACTTCATTAAGAGCCAGATCCCTGTGAGTGTTGACCCGCTCCAGTTTGCTTACAGACAGAACAGGAGTGTGGAGGATGCCATCTCCTTTGCTCTGAACTCTATCTACAGTCACTTGGACACTAGTAAATCTGTCGCGAGAATGCTTTTCATCGATTATAGCTCTGCTTTTAACTGCCTTGTCCCAGGTAAACTGATTGAAAAGCTCATGTCTCTCGGTTTAAGTGTTGCCATGTGTAAATGGAGTTTTAGCTTTTTAACTGACAGATCTCAGAGAGTGAAAATCAATGTTTTTCTGATGTTGTTTCTGTGAGCACTGGTTCTCCTCAGGGATGTATTTTGAGTCCTTTGCTTTTTACTTTGTACACTCCCGATTGTGTGTCCTCCTCTGACTCAAACTTGATCATCAAATATGCTGATGACAACACCATCATCGGTCTCATCAGTGACAATGATGAATCCTCTTATAGAGCAGGGATACAAAATGTGGTTCAATGGAGTAAAACTAACAACCTCCAGTTGAACGCATCGAAAACATGTGAACTGGTCTACGACTTCAGTCGCAATAGTTCTCATTTGCCTGTCGTAATCGACAACTCCCAGGTGCAGATCGTAGAGGAGTGCAAGTTTCTGGGTTTAACTCTGTCTAACGACCTGAAATGGGTTAAAAACACTGACCGGGTCGTTAAGAAAGCTCGTCAGCGTCTCTACTTTCTGCGTAAACTTAGAGAATTTACCACTAACTCTAAGATTCTGCTTAACTTTTATCGGCGGCACGGTGGCTGAGTGGATAGCACTCTCGCCTCTCAGCAAGAAGGTCCTGGGTTCGAATCCCGGTCAGACCAGGGCCTTTCTGAGTGGAGTTTGCATGTTCTCCCTGTGTCTGCGTAGGTTTCCTCCGGGTACTCCGGTTTCCCCTACCACTAAAAATATGTCCAATAGTTCTGGCATGCGCCTCCTGTACTGGCCCCGCTCCCATCTGTGTGTGGAGTGAGAGACAAATGCCCAAAAATTAACAATTGTAAACCGCTTTGAGACTCAGATCTGCAGTGAAAAGGCGGTATATAAATAAAGATTACTACTACTACTTACTACTTATCGCTGCACCATTGAGAGTTTACTTGTTGGTTCTGTGTCTGTGTGGTTTGGAAACATCACAGATAAAGAAAAGAGCTTTAAACAAGGTGCTCCGCTCTGCAAAGAGGACCGTGGGCTGTGAGCTTCCTGTTCTGGAGGTTCTTTATAAATCCAGACTTTTAAACAAAGCTCTCAGGATTGTTAATGACTCTTCTGGCCACCCTGGAAAAGCCATGTTCCAGCTTCTTCCCTCTGGCAGAAGATATCGCTCTCTGAGATGCAGGACATCTCGTTACGCTAACAGTTTTTATCCACAGGCTGTTATCAGTGTGAACAGAGCACTTTAATGATTTGCACTTGTTTTGAAACTGTTTTAGTCGACCGATTTCACAGTGACATTTGTTTACTGTTTTATTTGTTTTATTTCTGTCTTTTAATGTTTTATGTCTGTATTTGTCTGTGCGCACTGGAGACTTTTTGCTAATGTATTCCAATGTGTTTTTTTTTACTGCAAATGGCAAATAAACTGAATCTGAATCTGAATCTAACTTCCTGCAATAGCACCACACCAACGTGTGGTGCTATTGCAATGACACTTATGACCAGTGACGTGTTTGCACTTGGGGCCAGTGGGGCCCCGCCCCACCAGGTGGCGCTGTTGAGCACTATGCAGTCTCAAAATAACTGTCTATAGAATTGGTCTTCTTTATAGAGTAATCATCCATAAAATAATATTTTATTAAAAATAAATTGTGTCAAATTAATCAATTATTTCATAAAAATTTATGTATAAATCATAGGCTTTGCCAAAACCAAAAACAATTACCTAATTTCTCACAATCGAATTGAAATGGGGCTGGCCCCTGAGCGCTTGTTTAAGTGATGAGCTACTAAAATCATAGTGCGCATGTCCATAACCGGTCTCAGTAGACGGCCGTGGGGCACAGTTATTGCGGCCCCAAGGCCGATATCATCCAATTAAAATGTTCGGATGAAATACGTCAACACGTACACAAAATATTGGACTCAAATGCGTGACGACGTATGCAGCACGTTCAGTTTTGGCGGATACCGAGATACAGCAGCAAGCTAGTTTTTTTCATCCAGAGCTAAAAAATTTGAAGCAAACCAGCAATATGAATCATATAGATTCTTTGATGAAGGCTAAATTTAGCACTTTGCCACTTGAGCAAAAATTTGAAATTAAACGTCTGGGACCGCATCAGCCGTGGGATTTTAATATTGTTCAAGCGGGAAAGGACAAAACCCGTTCCTTCAACTCCGAATGGTTCAAGAGGAAAACGTGGCTCACTGCCTGTTGGACCAGAAAGTCACTGTTTTGTTTTCCTTGCCTGCTGTTCGGAGGAGAGACTACCTGGACTACAGTGGGATTCAAAGATTTGAAGCATCTTTCAGAACGTTTGACCAAACATGAGAGCAGTGGCTCACATGTTGAGAATTCCCTGAAACTGGGTTTGCTTGGTACCGCTAACATTGCGACCCAGTTGGATTCCGCCCACAAGCGTGCCATTGAACTGCACAACCAGCAAACTGAGGAAAACCGGTATGTGCTTGGACGAATCATCACATGTCTAAAACTCTGTGGTAAATGTGAAATTGCTTTACGCGGCCGTGATGAGTCTGCTGCTTCTGTCAATCCTGGCATTTTTCGTAGCATTTTTGAGACGATGTGTGAGGGTGATTCCAGACTCAATAGACATTACGAATCACAGCCATACTTCAAAGGGACCTCGGCGACAATTCAAAATGAACTTTTGCAGTGTATGTTTGAGGTTTATCAAGAAGAAGTTGTGAAGGAGGTGTCTGTTACTCCCTATGTGGCAGTGCAAGCGGACGAAACCACAGATGTGTCATGTAAATCCCAGGTAGTGGTTGTGCTGCGTTACATGACTGGGACAACAGTGAAAGAGAGATTTTGGAGTTTCATTGAAGTGAGGGACAAAACAGCACCAGGTCTGGCAAGTCATCTGGCAAGGCCATCGAGCCATTCGCTTTAAAGGAAAAATTAATTGCACAAACATACAACGGTGCAGCTGTCATGAGTGGGCATATCCGAGGCGTCCAGACACTGATCAGGGAAAAGTACCCAAACGCGCAGTTCGTGCATTGCTACGCGCACCAGCTAAATCTGACTTTGCAGCAGGTGTGCGCAACAAGAATAGCTGAAAGTTTTTTTTGCTGATCTGCCTTTGCTACATTTTTTTCTAACTCGCCAAAAAGAACCGCGGCACTCTCAGACACATCTACGCGGCGCATCCCGAGGCCAGCAGCGAGTCGGTGGAATTTCAGGAGCAGAACGGTAAATGCTGTTTGGGAGAACCTGTGTGATATCAAATCTCGCTATGTACCTGGAGGATGAGACATTTTTACAGTTTCTGCAGTTTTTCTACCAGCTCATGCCAGAAGTGGACATTCTGTACAACACACTGCAAAAACGCAGTGTCGATGCGACCACAGTTAATCGTGCTATGGACAGCTTCAAAGACGCTGTGAGTCGCCTGAGGGACAATGTGGATGACATCGCTCAGGAGAGAGAGGCAGCGCCAAAGAAACGGAGGAAAACAAACACTGCAGCAGTGATGAGGGAAGCGTGTGACACTGTGGTTGCTCAAGTGGAGGAGAGGTTTAGCTCCAGCGATCACCTGTTTGCTGCACAGCTTGTGGATTGCACACTTTTCACTAACTTCAGCAAATAATTTCCATGTGCTATGTTTGAAGCAGCAAATAAAATCTGGCCAATTGGAAATAAAGTCAAACTGGAAACTGAGCTGAAGTCCCTGTACAGTCACTCGGAGTTGCATGCTGGCAACACTCTGTCACTGCTGCAGCTGATCTTTGACAACAACCTACAGGATGCATTATCAGAAACTGTGTCACTGATCAAAATTATTATCATCACACCAATGACCACAGCAGAGTCTGAGAGGAACTTTTCAACACTAAAAAGGATAAAGACATTTACAAGAAACACCATGGGGCAGCAGAGATTGAATGCACTGGCTATGTTGTCCATTGAAAATGAATTCATTCGTGGCTTAAAGGACTTTGACAGACGGGTTATTGACAAGTTTGCCCAGATGAAAGATCGGTGTGCATCCTTTCTATTCAAGAAATGAACACTGATGAGTGCCATCACATCATCACTTTACTGCTGCACCTTATTGCACTGTTTACTACAAACTGTGTGCACCATGTGAACTTGTATATTGTGTATATAGTAATTGTAACCATAATTCTATTTTAAATTTCATTCCTTAGAAATGTTGCTGATTGTTGTTATGCCTTCTCTCCTCTTTACCTCTCTTTTCTGACTGCTGAACTGAGCCAAATAAATGTATGAAATCTTCCTGTTCCTGACTTACATGGCATTAAAAAGGATTTTGATTCTATTGAGTTGAATATTTCTGATTTATTTTTAACTATTCAAAGGTTTTATTAATGGGTTATACGTTAGGCTGTGCATAAAAATAGACTGTGGTCTTAAATTGGATTTATTGTGCATGTTTTGCTGTTAGTGGATCTAAAGTGCCCACACTCAAAGAAATGATTCAGGTGGTTAGTATTTTGAACTCAAATTACATACTAAACTAAACTCAATAATTGATTTTTGCCAGTTTTACTTAATTTAGTGTGGTCGCAACTAATTTTAAACATGTCGGTCTCAATTAAAAGTTAATACAAGAATCCTAACTCATTTTTGTAACAAATTTGAACTTGATATTCTGGCATAACTGGACAACGGAGAAGTATTGAGTTTGCTCAACATGAAAATCCTCTTGTAAGCCTGGGGGTCCATTAATGACAAAACAAATATATTGAGTTGATTCAAAATAAATATATTGTGTTGATTGAAAACAAAATGTGGCGAAGCAGTGACGCTACCCAGAATGCATTGCAGCGAAAAAATATGAACTTCTTAAAAATTCTACATTTGAGCATTAATTTTAAAACTGAATATGAAGCAAGTCCTAAAGCAAAATACTTGAGCAACATTCTGAATAAACTAATTTGACCAAATAAGTAATTGTATTTATTTTTATCAACCATGATCGAGAGGGCCAAGCCAAAGCACTCCTATACTCCCTGTGTCACCCTTCAATTTTGAACAGATACTTTAAGGTGGACATGTTTACCAGTGACTGTGCTGGCCCACTCTCATATATATGTGGAGTGAGAGACTACTGCCTGAAATTAACAATTGTGAACCGTTTTGTGAATCTAATCTTTAAAAGATGGTATTTGAATAAAGATTACGTATTCCTGACTGAAAATCACTTGTTGAATATACTCAAAAAGATTTATTTTCCATGTAATTATTTAAGTTGGTAGTATTGTTAAAATTGAGTTGAACTGATGCTAAAACACTTGCTGAATATACTTAACAAAGTGTCTTTATAACTGAATTATCCAAGTTGGTGGTATTGAAAAAATTGTGCTGGACCAATGATAAAAGACTTACAAAGAATACTTAAAACACAGTCTTGTTCGCAAAACTTAAAAAGATGCATGCAAAATGCTGCCTCAATTTTATTAAGTTTTGCCAATGTATTTTTTTTTTAGAGTGCACTCTTGTGCCCCACTCAACTTTTCATGCCAGAGACGCCACTGCTTATGACACAAACTATCACTCAAGAGTCAGACTTTATTTTGTCACCAAACACCCCAACATACACTAGGTTAACTCATCCAACTTAACTCAGCACATTGGAGAAAGACACATCTCACACTTGTACACATCGACTCTCCGATTGCCAAGATCCATGCTCGAGCTGGTTGGCGCACAGTCTAGATCAGGGGTGCCCAAAGTGGGGCCCGCGGGCCAAAGTTGGCCCGCCGGACCATTTCAGTTGGCCCACCTAACATTGCCCACCTCCTCTGTAAGTTTATAACTGCGTCCCTTAGCCTCGCTGAACAAACAGTGACATGTCTGAGATCGCACAGGCGCACCAACGCCCTCTGAACCATGACTGTCCAGTACTTTACTGTTGTATCGAGATACACTCCTCACTCATGGTTCACATCTACTTGCACTAAAATGTTTTTTAAAATCAAACACATCTTTCAAAACAATTGGGTGCAAGGCCCCTTTATGTTCTTTTTTTTCAGCCTACTATTATAATTTTTTTGAGCAATTTAATGTTTTATCAAATTGAGAGGATTGTGCTGGCGAACTGCCACTCCCCCTCCTCACCGGAGGCAATTGGCGAGTGGAACTATTCACCTGCGCAATCCGCACCCACCCGGTGTGTTAAAAAAGACGGACACACACACTTCAGAGTGAGTTCAAGCAGGACAAGCAGGGATCGCAGCGCACGATCCACGTAAGTAGAAGCAACAAATACTGCGCAAAACAAACCCTTCTACAGCCCCATGAAAGAAGCCGGTAAGCGCCGTCCTCACTCGCGATCATTGAATGTCAGAACTTACGCTGAGTTTTATGATGCGTTCAAGAGCCCTTTGGAGGAGCGGAAACACGGACTCTTTAACAGGTTCCTTGAGTTTGTTTTGTTTTACCTAAACACAGTACGACATTTATAAACAATCAAAACAAAGTAACTATCATGGTTAACTAGTCTGATTTTGTTAGTTTAATATTCAGTTCACAACTAATTGAGAATACTTGCCCTATGTTAAAAATTTTGAGTTAAAACAGAGTTAAAACCTGATCGTGTTTAGAAAATGCAGTTAGCAAATGTTCCCAAATTCATTACTAAAAGTTAAAATGTATTGTTTAAAAGTGTGCTAAAACCAGATCTATTGATCAGTGATGTCTCCCCTTTTTGATAAAAGCTAAGATAAAGTAATATGATTCAAATGTAGTTAAAAACATTTGTTCAAAATAAATATATGAAAATAGACTTTACTTTTGTAAAGTAAATGTCATTAGTACAATAAACCTATACATTATAAATCACTGTACTATAGTAATGCAAAACTGTTTAGAAAAAAGGTCTTCAACAAACAGTTTACTGACATGAGCAGGTTAAAAATATAGATTATTTAATTTGGGAGTATGATATTATTTAATATAAATTAGTACTTTCATTTACTAACAGGAACATTATTTGTTTACAAGTGGCGTTTAAAAAACAGTTTAGCTACATAGAAAATGTATGTTTCTGTTCTCTTTTAGAGGTTTTTTTATATGATTTTAAGCTGTAAATAAGCCATGACAGAAAATCTCCCTCCTCTGGACCCTGATTACCCGGCCGGAATCTTTCCGTACTGTAGTCTCCTCAAACCTGCATATTTCCCAGGAGCCTCCACTTCACTAAGACTGTGTTGATTTCATTCATTCAGCTGTGATTTGCACTGATAGACAATAATTAATGCATTTAATAGAACTTGATCAAATCTACATTTATTTGTGTTTCATGCGAAATATCGGTGTATTTGGCCCCCGGCCGACTGGCAAATTTTTACTTTGGCCCTTGGAAGCAAAAGGTTTGGGCACCCCTGGTCTAGATCAAGTGTCAAAAATCATCACCTCCATTTGCAACTTGAACTTTGAGTGCTGAGAGTGTCCTCGGCTGTTGTAATATCCAACACAGGCACCAACACTAAAATCTCCTCTGTGATGATCAAAGTTTCAGTAACACCACGAATGACTATGCTACATCCGTAACATCAGTGTTCTTATCAATGGCAACAGAAAAAGCCACACACAACTTTAACGGTCGCTAGTTCTGAAATCCTTTCTGCTGCACCTGGACAGGCTGATAATGCATGTCGTTTCTCAGGACACACCATTTCTGCAGCTTGTATGCAAGGTTTGACAAACTCACCCTCACTGTACAGCTGCGATGCTAATGCTATGTTGTTAGCAATCATGTAACTTGCCTTGACAGCAGCATCACTAACCTCTTGCTCTGGGCACAAACAGACTGCTGTTTCCTCAGGGCCACACACGAGTCTCGTAGTTTAAGAGGATATTCCTTCAGCTCCACCACTTATTGCATGCCCACCAAGCATACTGGTGTTTCATTCACCTCTCCTCACTGTCAGTCACACAAAGGTGCCCGTTCTGGTGGGAGCCACTAGGGAGTAACTCGACTAGCGTTGCGGCCCATGGTGTCGCTGAGCGGAGCAGATATTTGAATTTTTTATTATTTTAATCATCTTACACAAATGAGTTACGGGCCATATCAAATCTCTTGGTGGGCCAGATCCGGCCCCCGGGCCGCATAATTGACGCCCCTGGTCTAGATCATAATAATATCTGGATAGGATATTACTAGCTTGGGGCTGAAGTACCCATGTGCTCGGGTGATTCTCTGAGTTCTGCAGACTAAACAAGACTAAATTCACGTGGGCTACCAATACATTTTCCCCATAGAACTCAATGTAAACTAAAACAGCTCGACCTCAGCTGACAAAGAACCTACAGCTTTCATAAAGGTCGGATTTTGTGGGGATTCTTGTGTCCCTTGTCATCCTGAACTTTTTTCTTCCTAAATGCTTTGGTTTTCCTAAAATCCACATTTTGGTCCCACAAACTCTGCTCAATCGTCTCCCGATCAAACTCCGCTCTGATCAGCAGTGCCTGATTGGTTAGAGCGCGGCCGTGCCCTTCTGTGCACGTGCATGAGAGCCACACATGTGTATTTGGCGCAACACATGATGGGAGCTTGTCCACTACGCAGACCCTGGAGGACCAGACAATGCCCAAATACAGGCAAGTTCCGCTTATCTCTCGATCCCCATGGTGGCACATGCGTCACTGAGCACAATCCAATGATTTGAAAAGATTGCCATCTTGGATCTCTGGAGCTTGGTCTAGATCCATGCGCACTGTAGCTGAATGATGACCAGAAACGGAAACTTAACTCAAACCCCAAGGTAGTCGCTGAAGTTAGTATTAGCGCTACCAGCTGCTAGGTGCTAGTTTTTCACAAACATATTAGGCATAGTGGCCTGGATGAAAATGTAAGGTTAAACTTAGGGCAGGACCAAGCCTGTCCACTCTGTTTACCATTGACCAAATGGAGAGATACAGCTTCAAAGGAGCCATGGGGTCAGCCACAAGCCGCCATCAATCATGAGGATTACAGATGCCAAAAAGAGCAATAAAGTCACCACAGGGATAAGCACCTCTGTCTCTGCCTGCCTGTAGAGATCAAAGATCACAACCCTGCCCTCGCTCACAGACTCCTGCCACCGGACAATCAAAGACTCCCCCGCGGCGCTCTGACGCCCCCTTGTGAACAATGGACACTATCACACCCGGGACGGACAATTGCGAACCGGTACCCCTGGGTCCAGTACTCCAATAATCTGCATTGTGCCCCATATGTGTGTATCAGTGTCAAAGTAATGAAATACGGTGTGTGTTTGTACATGTCTTATGATTATTAGCATCAATCCTGTGTGTTTCCTTTACAAACTGTCTGTTGTAAAAGGGGTCTGTCCACAGAGGGCAGGGGCGGCATGGACACGCCCCCTGGGAAGCCTATATGAGCACCCACACGCCATTGTTCTTTCTCTTGTTTCTCCCGAATCCACTATAACAACCACCCCGTGGGTACGTGTCCCCTACACGGCCTACGCTCGCAACCTCCCTCTCAGCCCTGCGGCCACGCAAGTACGCGCCTCCAGCAACGACTGTGCCATCCGCCCCGAGGCCTCCCGCTTCCACGCAAGCCTCCTTTCTGGTTGGAATCTACGAACTGTTCATCACCAGCCTCTTTCCCTGGCTCGCGTGCACCAGCAGCTGGACCAAACTAGCAGGCTTCATAACTCCCGCCTGCCCGGACAAAGAAACCACGTGGGCTGTTTCCCAACCCAAAGCCCTTCTCCATCCTCTACGCTCCTCCAAAGTAAGACTGCTCCATGTTAAATGTTCAATTTGAATGAAATGTGTACAGTTCCTACTCAAATGTGACCAGAAATCCCTTTTCGTCATGCTTCGTCCCACTTTGTAATCAATAAATCCCTTTTCTTTAACTCAATCCTATCAGAGTCGTGTTGTTAAGATCTCGGACTATCACTGGCGGATAAAACGTATTCTACACCCTTAGATTATAAGATTGATATCGAGGCAAGATTTGGTTGGTCTGTGCCGTGCGTCACACACACACGGCTGGTGCCAAAATAAATATAAAGCAGACCCACACTACCAAATTTATACTAATAAGCAATTATAATCAGCTAATATTAAGTAGTTACCCTACATATGGTACCCTGTTTGTGAGATCCGCGTAAATGGACCAGAATTTATCAACCTAGTACTCTGTGAATTGATCCGTAAACGCTAACTCTGCCACCGCCCGCTCCAAGCGCCTTCCCCCCACTCCCGCACCCCCTCTGCTCCTCTACCCCCGTTGCTATGGTGAATTTGACAACAATTTGAGCTCCCCTAACGCGACCGCTTGCAACAAAAGCGCTCGTGATCCCAATAGACTATATATAGTCTCAAATCCTGACTTTTCGTGCAGGTACTACGCATCTCCAACGTGTAGCCCGTGGGCAGCGTGGAATGCGAAGCCGCTAACCTCTGAAGAGAAAGCGCAAAAAACTTCTCCTTGTAACCACTGTGCACCGTGTCCAGAACACGAACGTACAGACCTCTGTGCTCCTTTGTGACCTAAGTCACACAGGATTGTAACCGAGTATATCGGTGCAAAAGGCTGTAAATGGCAGCTGTTTGAATGTGATGCTATCGTTCTGCTAAAGGTTGCTAACGCTAACTCTGTCTCACCACTCTCTCTGCCTGCTAACCTGCTGTTGTACACACACACCAGCACCCTACAGTACATACATACAAACCCCATTCCACCACTGCAAATACGTGCTTGTGCGAACCGTACAACTCGCTCCAGACTTTCGTTGTATAAACTACTGCTAAAACCTCCGCGCTCGAAAGCTAACGGCTAAGCTACCCTCCTTTGTTCTAGCTAAGCTAACTTCCGCTCGGGCCTGCTAAGCCTCAAAGCTACACTCGGACAACATTGTTGTCCTACTACTGCTCACACTATAAGCTGCTTCTCTACCGTTAAAACTAGTGCTACTCTGTTTGACCAAACTGCATTCGGTTACTAAAACTCATTGTTTACTGCTCAAACTGCTTCTAAAAACGTGCCGTTGCCGGCAAAACTAGCTAGCTACGCTCCTTTGTTTTTAGCATACGGCTAACTTCCGGCCCTGGCGCGCTAAAAGCCAGAACCGCATCCCCACTGCTGATACCATTCTGCTGCATTGCCTACCCGTTGTCTAACAATAACAAAACGTACTATACTTTCGTACTATCCTATTTCACTCTGATTCTGTGTTTTGACGATCATGAAGTGCTAACCCGACTCTACACACTGCTAAACGAGCCGCACCACTTTATTGTCTAACACAGAATCGCTTTCCGGTCCCGGTGAACCACTTCCGGGACCACATTGCTGCTGTCTTGACTTTTTACCCTGCACTACGTCTCATGATCAAGTGATTGGCTGTGGTTGTAACATTAACACTGTTTGGCTGTTGTCCCTTGCTGTTTCTGTTCCAACTAAAATCTCTACTTTGCCAAACTTGATGTTTGATTGTAATAAACTACTACGCTAATTCTACCCCTCCTTCTGCGTGCCATATGTTTTTCTTTTCTCTTTCTTTGTGTTAGACCACATTGCTGCTATACATAACAAAAGCTAATAATTTGGCTCTGCCTCTGTTACTGCACGTTATGAATAACACATTACCGTGCTAACTAATCCTATACTGTAACTCTGCTCCTTCTGCATGTCATATTGCTTTGTCAAATAACCACATTACTGCTATACATTGGTACAGCTAACACTCTGTTTCTGCTTCTCCTATTGAACATAATTGTTAAGCTACATTACTGCGTTGACCAAGTTTCATACTGTAACTCTGCTACTTCTAGCGCATGTTGCTATTTTGAACACATTACTGCTAATACATAACTAAAACTAACAATTTTAATTCTGCCCCCCCTGCATGCCACGGCTAGACCGCACTGCGGCCCATGGTGATAACATTAACACTGTCTGGCTGTTTGTTCCATGCTGTTTTGTTGCTCCAATTTATAGCCACTCTACTCTGCCAAACTCTATGTTTGATGGTACTACACCAAACCTAATACTCTATTTCTAACCCTCACTGTCACTAAAACTGCATTGCCTTGCCTCAGCCTGCTGCCTTTTGCTACTGCCTACTTGAGCTGCGTCTCACACCGACGCTGCGTCTCAAGCTACGCCGCGCCCCACGCTGCGTCTCGAACCGACGCTGCGTCTCTCACGCTGCGTCTCTCACGCTGCGTCTCCTACGCTGCGTCTCAAGCCACGCTGCGTCTCAAACCGACGCTGCGTCTCAAGCTACGCCGCGCCCCACGCTGCGTCTCAAACCGACGCTGCGTCTCAAGCTACGCCGCGCCCTGCGCTGCGTCTCCTGCGCTGCGTCTCCCACGCTGCGTCTCTCACGCTGCGTCTCCTACGCTGCGTCTCAAGCTACGCCGCGCCCCACGCGCGTCTCAGACCCACGCTGCTCTCAAGCTACGCCGCGCCCCACGCTGCGTCTCAGACCGACGCTGCGTCTCAAGCTACGCCGCGCCCCACGCTGCGTCTCAGACCAACGCTGCGTCTCAAGCTACGCCGCGCCCCACGCTGCGTCTCAAACCGACGCTGCGTCTCAAGCTACGCCGCGCCCTGCGCTGCGTCTCCCGCGCTGCGTCTCCCACGCTGCGTCTCTCACGCTGCGTCTCTCGCGCTGCGTCTCTCACGCTGCGTCTCCTACGCTGCGTCTCAAGCTACGCCGCGCCCCACGCTGCGTCTCAGACCGACGCTGCGTCTCAAGCTACGCCGCGCCCCACGCTGCGTCTCAGACCGACGCTGCGTCTCAAGCTACGCCGCGCCCCACGCTGCGTCTCAAACCGACGCTGCGTCTCTCACGCTGCGTCTCTCACGCTGCGTCTCTCACGCTGCGTCTCTCACGCTGCGTCTCCTACGCTGCGTCTCAAGCCACGCCGCGCCCCGCGCTGCGTCTCAAACCGACGCTGCGTCTCAAGCTACGCCGCGCCCTGCGCTGCGTCTCCTGCGCTGCGTCTCCTACGCTGCGTCTCAAGCTACGCCGCGCCCCACGCTGCGTCTCAAACCGACGCTGTGTCTCAAGCTACGCCGTGCCCTGCGCTGCGTCTCCTGCGCTGCGTCTCCCACGCTGCGTCTCTCACGCTGCGTCTCCTACGCTGCGTCTCATACGCCGCGCCCCACGCTGCGTCTCAGACCGACGCTGCGTCTCAAGCTACGCCGCGCCCCACGCTGCGTCTCAAACCGACGCTGCGTCTCAGCTCTCGCCCTGCGCTGCGTCTCCCGCGCTGCGTCTCCCACGCTGCGTCTCTCACGCTGCGTCTCTCACGCTGCGTCTCCTACGCTGCGTCTCAAGCTACGCCGCGCCCCACGCTGCGTCTCAGACCGACGCTGCGTCTCAAGCTACGCCGCGCCCCACGCTGCGTCTCAGACCGACGCTGCGTCTCAAGCTACGCCGCGCCCCACGCTGCGTCTCAAACCGACGCTGCGTCTCTCACGCTGCGTCTCTCACGCTGCGTCTCTCACGCTGCGCCTCCTACGCTGCGTCTCAAGCCACGCCGCGCCCCGCGCTGCGTCTCAAACCGACGCTGCGTCTCAAGCTACGCCGCGCCCTGCGCTGCGTCTCCTGCGCTGCGTCTCCTACGCTGCGTCTCAAGCTACGCCGCGCCCCACGCTGCGTCTCAAACCGACGCTGCGTCTCCTGCGCTGCGTCTCTCACGCTGCGTCTCTCACGCTGCGTCTCCTACCTTACGCCGCGCCCCACGCTGCGTCTCTAAACGCCGCGCCCTTGCGCCGCGCCCTCACGGCGCGCCCTTACGCCGCTGGCGCGTCTCAAACGCCGCTGGCGCGTCTAAAACGCCGCTGCCGCGTCTCAAACGCCACAGCCGCGCCTCTAACGCCGCTGCGTACCTAAACGCCGCGCCCTTACGGCGCGCCCTCACGCCGCGCCCCACGCTGCGTCTCTAAACGCCGCGCCCTTGCGCCGAGCCCTCACGGCGCACCCTTACGCCGCTGCCGCGTCTCAAACGCCGCTGGCGCGTCTCAAACGCCGCTGGCGCGTCTAAAACGCCGCTGGCGCGTCTAAAACGCCGCTGCCGCGTCTCAAACGCCACAGCTGCGCCTCCAACGCCGCTGCGTACCTAAACGCCGCGCCCTTGCGCCGCGCCCTTACGCCGCGCCCCACGCTGCGTCTCAAACGCCACAGCTGCGTCTCCCACGCAGGTGCATCTCACGCTGCGTCCCTTACGCCGCGCCTACCGCTGCGGTTTAACGCCGCGCCCTAATACTGCCGATACGCCATGGGCTGTTAGACTCTGCTTCCGATACACTCACTTCGTCGGTACTCGTGGTGCCTCGAAGCAGGGGGGGGGTAATGTTGGCACACGCCCATGACACACGTCAGGCACCACAACAGGTAGAAACAACGGACCGGACGGGGACCAAAATACTAAGGTATGTATCCCCAAACCGGAGTGTCGAGAACGTGAAACTCCCCCGGCCCCTGAGGACAAACCAATACAGGACCGACCCGCAGGACCACCCCCAGGTCAAAAACCAGGTATGGTATTACACCTTGGCACACTCCCCAGGACATGCGGGGACCGGCCCCACCAGACTACGCCGGAAATCGCTACCCCGCTGGTCAAGACCATACAGGGTGGGAAACAAACTCTCAACCGCAGTGCACCAAATCGAGGTCACAAAAGGTAGAGAGCCCACCCTCAGATGGGCCCGTTACAGCCAAACCAAACCACACAAACAAAGCCCCATGGGACAAGCAGGGCACACTTCAAAACCCAGTTAGGAACACACCACGTGACCTCAAACACGATTAGCCCAGCACTCACTAACACTCTTCTCGGCTGCACTAATCGACTCTCTCTCTCTCTGTCTCTGTCCAACCCCTAACAGTTGTTTCACGCCTTGCAGAACATGTGGCCCACTCTCCTTCTCGTGCTGACCTGGCACTATACCACCTGTACCCAAACCAGTACGAGGCAGAGGTCGAGGTACCAGAGTTCTTTGAGAAAAGGGCCTTGGAACTTCAACCCTCTACCCTAGTCCAAGCCACCTACGAGGGGGCACAAACCGTTGACGTTACGGTCGTAGACAACCTCCTTCAAGAGATTGCCAAGCGACCGACCATCCACCACCAACCAGTAGCCTACTCCTGGGCCGCCCCCGATACAGTCATGGCCATCGCGGTAGGACTCGGGTACGGCCTGGTCGTAGTCATGGCCTTCGTCCTAAATAGACGGGTTAGACGACTCCGCGATAGCTTTAACAGGTGCACGGAGGCAATGACGAGACAGATCCGTAGACGACCAAACCGGGGCGACAGCGCCGTCGAGCGTGGCAATTTGAGTCGGCGTCCCCAGGTCAATGAGTCAGAGTACGAGGACCTCCAAAGTCACCCACTCGAGGCGGTCACCCTTTCTATCACGGAAGGTGAACCAAGGGCCTAAAACACCACTAAGAGTCACCAGCTCAGACCCAACCAACCTACCTCGATACCTAATCAGTCTCCTAGACAATCATGCCTGTCATCCCCATTTATATGCAGGAAATGTCCCTCGTAATTAAAGCCCCACTTGCTACGTCATATATTCGTGTAACCCTCACACTCCCCTTTTAGAACGAGCAAGATGGGAACCCCTCACCATCGAGTGCCTTAACGACGCTCCTACCCGCTGCCAAGGCAGCCACCCTTTTTGATTTTTGAAGTTTCCTATTTTTGTATCCTAGTCCCCTAAAGTAGAAACTCCTGCTACTCTCTTGGCTTGGAACTTTGAGTCTTCCAGACCAAGAGACCCAGGAGTCAGGCGCACCGGCCCAAACCTTAGAGTTCACGGCCGGAGCTCACTCCCTAAAACCCCTGATCCCGGTTAGAACTGGCCTGCAGGGCCAGGACTCGCCTTAGAGAAAACCCGGCCTCGACAAACCAAGCCAGAGGCCCGAGACCCAACCGCTACGAGCCTGCCCCAGTTAGGCGCTTGCGAGCTACTGAGTCACATTGAGACGGGAATGTTGTAACATGTCACCACAAATTGTACACTAACACCCGAACAGGCGAGAAGACCGACTGAAGACAACCCCACAGCATATCCGACATGACATGCACCTTGTCGGAAGGTGCATCTCTGCCGTGGGGGGGGTATGTAAGGTTAAACTTAGGGCAGGACCAAGCCTGTCCACTCTGTTTACCATTGACCAAATGGAGAGATACAGCTTCAAAGGAGCCATGGGGTCAGCCACAAGCCGCCATCAATCATGAGGATTACAGATGCCAAAAAGAGCAATAAAGTCACCACAGGGATAAGCACCTCTGTCTCTGCCTGCCTGTAGAGATCAAAGATCACAACCCTGCCCTCGCTCACAGACTCCTGCCACCGGACAATCAAAGACTCCCCCGCGGCGCTCTGACGCCCCCCTTGTGAACAATGGACACTATCACACCCGGGACGGACAATTGCGAACCGGTACCCCTGGGTCCAGTACTCCAATAATCTGCATTGTGCCCCATATGTGTGTATCAGTGTCAAAGTAATGAAATACGGTGTGTGTTTGTACATGTCTTATGATTATTAGCATCAATCCTGTGTGTTTCCTTTACAAACTGTCTGTTGTAAAAGGGGTCTGTCCACAGAGGGCAGGGGCGGCATGGACACGCCCCTGGGAAGCCTATATGAGCACCCACACGCCATTGTTCTTTCTCTTGTTTCTCCCGAATCCACTATAACAACCACCCCGTGGGTACGTGTCCCCTACACGGCCTACGCTCGCAACCTCCCTCTCAGCCCTGCGGCCACGCAAGTACGCGCCTCCAGCAACGACTGTGCCATCCGCCCCGAGGCCTCCCGCTTCCACGCAAGCCTCCTTTCTGGTTGGAATCTACGAACTGTTCATCACCAGCCTCTTTCCCTGGCTCGCGTGCACCAGCAGCTGGACCAAACTAGCAGGCTTCATAACTCCCGCCTGCCCGGACAAAGAAACCACGTGGGCTGTTTCCCAACCCAAAGCCCTTCTCCATCCTCTACGCTCCTCCAAAGTAAGACTGCTCCATGTTAAATGTTCAATTTGAATGAAATGTGTACAGTTCCTACTCAAATGTGACCAGAAATCCCTTTTCGTCATGCTTCGTCCCACTTTGTAATCAATAAATCCCTTTTCTTTAACTCAATCCTATCAGAGTCGTGTTGTTAAGATCTCGGACTATCACTGGCGGATAAAACGTATTCTACACCCTTAGATTATAAGATTGATATCGAGGCAAGATTTGGTTGGTCTGTGCCGTGCGTCACACACACACGGCTGGTGCCAAAATAAATATAAAGCAGACCCACACTACCAAATTTATACTAATAAGCAATTATAATCAGCTAATATTAAGTTATTACCCTACAAAAACGTATGTGACCATGCTCTTTTTGGTGGTTTCCAGTATTTCCCCTGATTGCACCACTGTAAATTAACTTTGGATCACTTCGGGCTCAAGTGTGGACACACTTTAAGTTACTTTCTTGCAGTAGTAATACAGCGCACTTTATAACATTTTTATAAGGCAAATAAGTCATGTGTAACTGATGCCTTTAACAAAGTAACTTACGACATTCTGCAAAAGATTTACATGATGAAATTCCGATAAATGACATGAGCATGTTTAAAAACTGCCTGTCCGGGGGGCCGGCCAGTGCATTCCACAGTTTGGGACCTGCTGCAGTAATTGAGGAACACTTTGAAGCTTAAAGCCTCATAATTTTGAGAACTTTAACAAAGAAACACCTGCCAACTTGAGTTAGTTGACATAATAAGCACTGGCTTGACCTCCTTCATAGTTGCTCTGTACAGAAACATCTACCTATAAAAAGACACACACTGAAGGAACATCTGGAACGGACGGTTGTGATGATGTCACTGTCGCTTTAGTTTGCAACACTAAACAAAACGATTCAAGTGGGCTTTAAGATGCCTTGCACTTGACAGCACTATACAAGCTTGTTTAAGTTTCTTAACCGTAGGTCATATATTTAGAGAGGATTGACCGATCGCTGATGTCACCACACTGTATGCCTTTGTGCCAAAGAAGCTGATTTAAACATAAAGCTAGTTGAAACCAATTTCCTTACATGTGTTTGGCACACATCTGGATTTACAAAGACAATATTAAATAATAAACACCTGGATCACAGAGAAAACATAGATTATTTATGTCCAAAATGGTAAGTGTGACAAAAGGGTTAATTAGGTAAAGGAGTTTACCTTTACATTTACAGTGTAAAGTATTCGGCCCCCTTGAACCTTTCAACATTTCGCCACATTTCAGGCTTCAAACATAAAGATATAAAATTTTAATTTTTTGTCATGAATCAACAACAAGTGGGACACAATCGTGAAGTGGAACAAAATTTATTGGATAATTTGAACTTTTTTAACAAATAAAAAACTGAAAAGTGGGGCGTGCAATATTATTCGGCCCCTTTACTTTCAGTGCAGCAAACTCACTCCAGAAGTTCATTGAGGATCTTTGAATGATCCAATGTTGTCCTAAATGACTGATGATGATAAATAGAATGCACCTGTGTGTAATCAAGTCTCCGTATAAATGCACCTGCTCTTTGATAGTCTCAGGGTTCTGTTTAAAGCGCAGAGAGAACCATGAAGACAAAAGGAACACACCAGGCAGGTCCGAGATACTGTTGTGGAAAAGTTTAAAGCCGGATTTGGATACAAAAAGATTTCCCAAGCTTTAAACATCTCAAGGAGCACTGTGCAAGCAATTATATTGAAATGGAAGGAGTATCAGACCACTGCAAATCTACCAAGACCCGGCCGTCCCTCCAAACTTTCATCTCAAACAAGGAGAGACTGATAAGAGATGGCCCATGATCACTCTGGATGAACTGCAGATAACTACAGCTGAGGTGGGAGAGCCTGTCCATAGGACAACAATCAGTCGTGCACTGCACAAATCTGGCCTTAATGGAAGAGTGGCAAGAACAAATAAAGCCATTTCTCAAAGATATCCATAAAAAGTCTTGTTTAAAGTTTGCCACAAGCCACCTGGGAGACACACCAAACATGTGGAAGAATGTTGGCCACAATGCAAAACGATATGTTTGGCGTAAAAGCAACACAACTCATCACCCTGAACACACCATCCCCACTGTCAAACTTTTCTTCAACAGGGACAGGGAAGATGGCTAAAATTAATGGGAAGATGGATGGAGCCAAATACAGGACCATTCTGGAAGAAAACCTGTTGGAGTCTGCAAAAGACCTGAGACTGGGACGGAGATTTATCTTCCAATGATCCAAAACATAAAGCCAAATCTACAATGGAATGGTTCACAAATATCCAGGTATCAAGTATCCAGGTGTTAGAATGTCCAGACCAAAGTCCAAAGTCAAAGTCCAGACCTGAATCCAACCGAGAATCTGTGGAAAGAGCTGAAGACTGCTGTTCACAATCGCTCTCCATCCAACCGCACTGAGCTCGAGCTGTTTTGCAAGGAAGAATGGGCAAGAATTCCAGTCTCTCGATGTGCAAAACTGATAGAGACATACCCCAAGCGACTTGCAGCTGTAATTGCAGCAAAAGGTGGCGCTACAAAGTTCTACTTTCGCAAGGCACAGTAAGTAGAGTTTATGGACTTATTAGTTTGGTTCCATCAAGTTTTAGAAGTAATAAGACGCATGTTTAATGTCAAAATATGTTGCTGAATGAGTCCCTGTTAAAACCTTTAGCTTTGTTCATAGCAATTCAACAGTACATCAAAAAACCTTGTAATTAAACCATGTTGTTTAAATAAAAACAGTTTTATGTTGCTTTTATTCAAGTGTGACCTATTTGTGGACACTTTTTACTTTAATTTGAAATTTGGCAGGTGGGTTTGCACACAGATGTGCATAATAGTCAGCATGTACTGTATATCTTGTCACCATTGTATACCATATCTGGAAGAAATTGGTCAAAGATACTGTATTTGTATACTTTAAAAACTATGAAAACAAGATCTTTTCAAAGAATATGTTTTAGTAATAAATCATGAAACCTGGAAATGAACAAAAAGAAAATGCATAACTTTCTCGATTGGCTGAGCTGAATGCTTCTGCACTTTGACTACAGTGATGTTGTTTCTGCAGATATGAATGTGGCACAAGGATCACCACGCCCTCTGGTTCCCATATCCTAGTGTTCCCACGGACGTCATAGAGCAAGGCCATGCAGGCATGAACTGACTCATCCTTTACGCAATATCTATTGTTATTTGTTGCTTCCAGACCTGCAAGAAACAGACCAAATAACTATATGTTTAAAGGCGACAAAATAGACTTTTATAGTTTATCTTTGTCATTTTTTCGTTGCAGTCTCAAAGTTGTTTCAGAGCAATTCATTCATCTTTGAGACATTTATGACGTTTACACACACATGAAGTTTACACTAGGAAGACTGTAGACACTGTAACCTCAATAAACCAAGAACTATTTACACAAGACTCATTTGACATCTCGCACATCTCTCCATGAAGTATTACCATGATCTGATTGGCACTCTATATCATGACAGTAGGACCATGTGGACCTACTTCCACATGGTCCGGAAGTGTCAGGGGATTCTCGGTTCTCTGTCCTCCTGCTCTCTCATGGTCCTTCAGAACGACTCTTTCCCAAATGGGACTTAAAAGGGTTTTCCTGGCTGGTTTGGAAGGCTGGCAAAAACATGGTTGCCACGAGGTAGAAGCCCCCTCACTCACTGTCAGTGGGTTGTGACAAATATGGACATGGTCTTCTTGGAGCTCCCCACAGTGGCCATCGAGGAGAGTACCATTGACATGTTGGAAGATACAGACACAAGTAAGAAAGTAAGTAATGTTTATTCATATAGCACATTGTACAGACCAAGGTCACCCAAAGCGCTTTACAATGTTCAGAGTTCAGATATTGTTCCAATCACTCCACACACGGTGATGACAGAAGCAAGTCCCCGAACACACTGGTGCATCAAAGCCCCCAATCAACACCCCCAATCTCTCAACAAACTCAAGTCTACATTTGAATTTTGTTTTATTGATTGTATGGTACATTTCTAATCTGGCGTTATTTGTCCTGGACCTGTATGTGTGTGTTTGTTTTGGAACAAAGTAAATACAACTGTGGCCATACTTGCATGCAAAAGCCAGATCCCTCTGAAGCTGTGCAGGGAAGGGCCTGTTTCGTACTGTGATGTAGAACACAGTAGTACACAGTAGTACTGTGTACTGTGTACAGTACACAGAGGGAGGCCGTACACTGCTGTTGTGCCCTTTGGCAAGACACTTCACCCACCTTACCTAGAATGTGTGAATGGCTTATACTGGTTGCCTCACTTCTGTCAGTGTGCCCCAGTGCAGCTGCAGCTACCATAGTAGTTTATCACCACCGTGTATGGTGAAAAAGAATAATCCCATGTGAAGCATTTCCGAGTGTCCTCAAAAGCGATATATAAAACTGATGTATTTTTATTATTATTATTAAAATGCAATATTATTAGTATCATACTTAAAATCACAAAATAGGCAACTATATGCTTCAATTATGAATATTTAAACAATTCTGACTCATAAATTATTGTGAAGACTTCACTTTCCAGGGGATCCTCTTTCTGAAATTGTGTAAACTTCACTGCTATTTATAGTTATCAGGTGCAATAACATGCTGTGTGCTGAAAATGCAAAAGGTGTTGATGCAGCATCAAAGAAACTGTCTGTTTATGGTTTCATGAGAGTGTGTTTGAACAGGAGAATACATACACTTTGGTTCAGGAAAGCACAAGTAATATGGCAGTAACAGCACATTTTTGTTAATGGTTTTGGGAGCCAGAATAGAGAAAAACTCAACAATACTGCAGTTGGGCACAATGTACATTATTTTGTCTATATTACACCAAAATAGCAACAAATTTACACGCTCATTTATGCTGATTACATTCAGTATACAATAATTGTTTAATGATTTAATACAAAGATACTTTTCTCTACAATCTCTGTCTTTTATGGTATTAAACTTTTA